TTTATTTGTTTATTTATTTTTTATTTATTGTTTTATTTATTTCAATTTACTGTTTGTATTTTGAGAACGATTTCCGAAGTGGAAATTGAAACGTCAATAAACGTATTTTTATCTTTAATTGTGGCTTATTCCCCTGTTAAATAGTAATTAATAATTTATATTGTTATTATAAATATACTTGATAGAAACCCTTTGTAATTTCAGTATTTAAACCTAAACAAACAGGACGTCAGGACAAAACCTGACAACCGAATAGGAAAGTTTAGGGTCCGAAACCGGTCGTCCAAGGTACAATTAATTAATTGTGAGTAAGTCTTATATGTATTTCTTTAAGCTTATCAAATATCTGGTTTTTCATTTATAAACAAATTAGTAATCCATTCACTTTTCTACATTAAATCTAGAGGAGAAGGTGGTAATATGGCCCCTGCATATTTTATGGCCCCCCTCCGTATTTTAATAACAAAGTGCTGAAATCTAGTGGAGAACGCTGGACCTAGTTCACTAGTATACCAACTGGCCGTAGGAGCGCTGTGAGCCATTAAGTGCAGTCACTCATAATTGTGCAGTAGTTTGGTGTTTTGGTCAATCTTCAAAACTTTGAAAGGTATGTAAATTTCTTGATTTTAACTTACCATAACTAATAATAACTTAGTTCTAACTTTAAAACCACGTGTTTTTAAACTTGGAGATGTGTGTATTATGGCCCCCCTAGGTAATGGTAATATGACCCCCGGGTCCATATTACAAGCAGTTTCAATATTTGTAGTTTTTTTTATTTTTCAGATGCCTAGAATCAGCTTAACACCTAGACCAGCCAGAAAAAGGCAAGTTTGGGACAAGGACAAAATGAAAGAAGCAGTAGCAGCTGTCACTGAAAAGAAAATGGGTGTCAAAAAGGCTTCTAAACATTTTGATGTGCCTAAGACCACTTTAAGAAGATATGTAGGAAACTAGGTAGGAAACCAGCTATACCTGAAGAACTGGAAAATGAACTAGTGAAGTACCTGAAGTATATGGAGGCAAAATTTTACGGGTTCACTCGCTTGGATGTTCGTCGAATGGCTTACCAACTAGCAATTAGAAATGGATTCAAACCAACTTTAGAAACGAAATTGCTGTCAGGGCTTGGTTGGACCATTTCCTTAGACGACACAAAGACAAGTTGTCAATCCGAAAGCCAACTGGAACATCATATGCTTGTGCAAAAGGTTTTACTCGTGAAAGAGTTAATGCCTTTTATGACTTGCTGGAGTCCGAATATTCAAAACACAAATATCCAGGTGACCGTATTTTGAATGTGGATGAAACGGCCTGAGTGTAGTTCAGACAAAAATACCACAAGTTATTGCCAGTAAAGGTAAACGCCAAATATGTTCTCTAACTGCGGCAGAACGTGGATCTTTGGTCACAGTCATATGTTCAATGAGTGCAGGAGGATCTTATGTCCCTCCGATGTTGATTTTCCTAAGTATAAACATGTCTGATCTCCTTATATAAAAGAGCTCCTCCTAGTCAATTGGAAGAGCTCACCCGTCTGGGTGGGTTCAATCAAATCTGTTTAGAGACTGGTTAGCTCATTTTATTGAAAAAACAAATCTAACAGAGACCTCGCCCATACTACTTATCCTTGGCGGTCACTTTTCGCACACAAGAAACATTGATGTGATCGATTTTGCAAGGAAAAATTACATCACGATATTGTCCTTACCATCCCACACAACACATAAATTGCAACCACTAACCGCACTTTTATGGGAGCTTTAAAGACTCACTACAGTGAAAATATCCGACAGTGGATGCTTCATGAAAGTAGACCTGTTGGCCTTACGATATTGCGTCCTTTTTGGGAAAGGCGTACCTCCGATGTACCACAGGAGTAAACGCTGTAAATGGATTCTGGGTCACAGGTATTTACCCCCTGGAAAGAAAATATTTTTCAAGACCATGAATTCATTGCAGGGGAGGAGGAGGCACCAACGAAAATCAGGCTGAGAACACTGATAACCGACTGCATGACACTCCTGCAGTTGAAGTCAATCCTCATCCACCAACAACCTTCGCTGTGTCTCCTAAAGACATTCACCCCGTTCCAGAAAAAAAGAAAAAATCAAACCGTGGACGAAAACCCTGCATCGCAAATGTCATTACTAGTTCTCCTTATAAAAGAGAGCTAGAAGATTTTCTGGCAAAAAAAGAAGCTGGTGCTAGTCGTCGTGGTCGTGGCCGTGGCAATGGCCGTGGCAATGGGAAAGGCACTGGAAGAGGTGCTTCAACAAGTGTCACTCGAAGTTTGACGTTTGTTAACCCCATACCATCTTGTCCCGGACCTCAAACTAGCGCTGTGACGTTTGATAACCCCATACCGTCCTTGTTCTGGCCTCAAGCTACCCTAAAGGACAAGCAGCCAAGTCTGACTGTACCCCACGTGCCAACGCTGGAAAATCAAAGAAGAACAACCCTAAACACAAACGTCCAGCTGACAGCAGTGACGACGACGATGATGATGATGATGATGACGGGATGCAGCTCTCCACTTGCTCCGTGAATCACCTTTTGATCTATCAGTTGGAGAGCTCAACCAAACCAAGATGACGCATCATGTATTTTTTGTCATGAAAAGTTCACCAACAGCGTGCGGGGGGAACTATGGGTTCAGTGTCTCATGTGTTCACTGTGGGCACATAACGAATGTGCAGGGGCAGAGAAGATGAGTACGTCTGCGATTTCTGTCGTTGTTCGTCCATTATTACCATGTAGGACATTTTAATTTTGTAGACTAGACTATATCTACCTATTCATACATATTATGCTGTATCTACTTATATACACTCTACGATCTACTTATTTATAATAAAAAGGTTTTTTGTTCAATGCAGTTATATTTTCAGAATTTGCCAATATTTCCTTAAATTAATAAGGGGTCCATATTACAAACACCATGGGGCCATATTAACTGCACATCCCGTTTTCTGATGAATGGTCAACTTTTAAAAAATTATTTAAAAAAAATGTAAAATGAAGTCTTAAACCGCTTTAACTATTACAATGTGTTCGGTAACTAACACCATATCGTAACTAAGCTAACAATCTCTGTTTTTTTATTAATAATATCAATTTTACAATAAAAAATCAAAATGGGGCTCCATATTACCACCTTCTCCTCTAATATTTTGATTTTTACACAAAAAATTGGTGTCGTTTTCTTACAGTTAAAGTCAAACATAAATTAAAACTTACCATGAAGCCTTTATCGGACACGAGATGAGAAAGCAAATCGAAGCAGTTAAGTATATATTATTTCAATTTGATGACATTGTAGCATGCATAGAAAGTTTGACAAATCAAACTGTCAATCAGACACTCTCAGGTGATTGTGATTCAGTATTAAACAAAATGCTTAGTTTAGAATTTGTAATATCTTTACATGTATGGTATGAATTGTTATCGCGTGTAAATGTGACAAGCACACTATGGCAATCTGTACAAGTCCATTTGAGCATTACCCTTAAACATTTGCATACATTTTGTGGCTAAGCCAAAGAATCTCGGCAAACTGTATTTGAAAAATGCTTGTCTGATGCTCAATAAAATAATTTATGGATAGAAGCTGTTATAATCTGCCGAAAGAATTTAAAAACAAAAGAGTAGCGGAAAAGAAAAACTAAAAAATATTACTCACAAACAAATATAAAAAAATTTTCTGAGACAAAGTGACCACTTTGTTTCAAGTTAGTAACCTTATGTAGATCATACTTTGCCATGTTACCAATTCCACTGGTAACTTAAACATCTTACCTTTCCTGTTAAGAGCATGTAATGTAACAAAATTTAAACTAACATTTAACGGGTTTTTACCCATATATTTTAGTGGCTCAAAATATGTATACTTAGTTACACTGATGATGGAATTTACATTCCGAAAACGTTCGGTAATTGTGATATAGCCCGTTTGGGTATTTTGTTATATACCTTTTATAAAGGATTTTAAATAAAAAAAATATTTATTTATCTACCACTCGTATGGGTAAAGTTGTCCTTTGTGTCGTTTGATGTTCTGATTAACGTCCGATTTTTCCCATCACACTGGTTAATGCAACAAACGAAGTGGTAGGATTGTCCTCACAAATGACTAATGTTAAATTTGTATCCATTAATTCTATTTCTTTGTAATTTCAATTTGTTTTGATTTTTTTTTCAATGATTGTTATTTGCATAAATGATTAAACACAATTTGCAGTTTTGTATTAAGGCTTTATTTTCATTGATATGCATACATTAATATAATGAAGTAATTATATTATTTTGTTCCCAAAATTTATAATCAAAATTATGTAAACGTCTAAATGTAAAATTTAGTAGGATATATATGGTGGTTGTATGTAATCATCTAATAGGGCTTTAATAGTATAATAATTTCGGGGATTTTCCTTTACCGTGAACTGCGAATCTATATCTAAATACTTAACAGCATTGGGTTGTACTTTTGGCCAAATTACGTTTTGAAGGTCTTCGTCCGAATCTGGAGTAGGGTTCCTGAAAAATATTAGAATTAATATATTATTCTGTAATTAGAACTTATTTATATATTTAGAGCTAAATTGCTTGGTAATTGTAATTACTACTACTTATTTGAAATGGACACACCCTCAATATTTGAGAAATGCGATAAATGTAAAAGGAATGCCGAGATTCGGCGATTTTTAAATTATATAACATTAACGTTTAAACGTTTAAAAATCAAATCGATAACGTTTAACGTTACCTATATTCTTTATGTTAAAATTAAATAGACAATAACCTTCTATGAACGGCTATATGTTCCACTATTGCCCTAAATTTAGAAGTTTTTGATATACAAGGTGTTAAAAATCAGATAATTAGTTGGACAGTTCCAGTAATCTATGTTTAATCTTGAACCCCAGAAATAAAAAGTATAGGTTAGTGAAATAAGAAACAGTTTAAATAAGACGATCAAATTGAGATCACCTTACTTCTTGGCAATAAGTCATCCTTACAACTAAACGTGCTAGTGGATGCGTATTCCTATATTATATAATAATATAGGAATATTAAACAATGATATTCCAAGATATTACTTATATACTATACTAAGGAATATGGTACTTACTGATACTTAACAAAATTCGTCCACCACTTCAGTATAGGTTTTCTAAGCTTCTCATTATTTGAGTCAAAAATCTTCAAATCCCACAAATACCATAGATCTGCTGCATGTGGAACTCCTAAAAAGGAATATGAGTAATAACAATTAAAAAATTAGTCAAAAAATCTTTTGAAAGAAGTATCTACAAATTCATATGGTACTTTGATTAATTAAATACGTTTTTATTGAGACCATTTGAACACACTTGTCCGTGTTCGTTTGTGAAGACACAAGACAGATTGTAAATGGTCAGCCAGTAGGTACACATATTTTTATAAAATAATGAGTTTCGTATGATACATCTGATACGCAAATATTAATATTATTTATTTTATAATAATGGTGGTTTTTATGTCACAATAATGGTTTCAAATGATAGTGGACAAAGACTGATTAGTTTTACGATGAAAAAAATATGGTGGTGAGGAGTACCCAGTTAAAAGGAAAAGAAATAAGAAACCTGAATTTCTCCCGATGAAAGGACGTTTAACCAAATTGATCACATATACATGGAAAAAATTACACCAAATGTATAAGAAATACAAGAAGTATCAGAGGAGCTGAAATAAATTCCGCTCATTTTCTGGTTAGAGTTATATGTGGAATGGTGTAAAAGGACATTTAGACTTGACCGGACAAGAAACAAGAACGAGAAAAACAAATTCAAAGAGGAAAAATCGATATGGTAAAGAAAAGCTAAGGGAAGTGAAAACTATAGCAAATAATAAAATTATTCCACAAAACAACCAAATTAAAGCAGGAAAGAATTGGTTTGATGAAGAATGCCTTAAAATAGTAGAGGAATAGAAAATATTAAGACAATTGGCACCAATAAATAAAAATGATAGTATAAACCAGAGTTATGAAGATCAAAGAAAAATAATGAAAAGGGTATGTAGACGAAGGACAAGAGAATATAACGACAAAAATAATACAAGAAGTAGGGGAAGGATTTTAGAAAAAATAATACGGTCGCTTTATCAAGAAGTTAAAAAAACTGAGAAGAGATCCAGAATTACAATTTATAGATGAAAAATAAGATGGAACACTCACCAGTTAAAAATAATCAATAATATGTATATGGGAGAGATATTTTAGTAAACTATGAATGGGCAAAATACACATGGGAATCAAAATTTCCTTATAGAGGATGATGGCATAATAACAGAACTGTCTACTGCAGGAAAGATTAAAAGCATAAACAGTGGGCTTAAAAATAACAAAAGAACGGAAGAAAACGAATAGATGCGGAAATGCTAAAGAATGGGGAAAACTACAAAAAAAATTATAGCCTTATCAAGAGGATATGGAAAGAGGAAAATATGCCCAAAGATTGAACCAAATCTTTATTATGCCCCAGATTCAAAAAGCAGGATAGAGTGACATTAGATTTTTACACTAAAATTTAAACAAGCATATGATAGGATAAAAAAAAAAAGAAATAAAATGTATGTGTATTTCTAAGAATAGAGGTCTTAGACAAGCATTATTCACGTTTTTTTATTTTGAAGATCAATGGCTGGCTGCTGATCTTACTACTCTATCGAAACAAGAAAATAATTAAGAAATGTTATTAAAATATTAGGAATAGAGGTAAAATATTTTGACCTAGAAATAAATCAGAAAAATGAAAGTACATGATACCCGAAATATAAAAAAAAAGAAGAGGGAGAGTTTACTTTAATATCTAAGGAATTATGGAAATATAATTTCGAGAGGCTGGTTTATTTTACGTATATGGGTATTATTACAGAAAAGAAGGGTCAAAAAGAATAGAAACTGCATGGCAGATTGGAAAAGGGAAATAAAAAGATGCAAAAAAGCCTAAGACCACTGATTAAATCCAAATATATAACGAGAAAAACACAGTTAAGGATGTATAAAACGGTAATACGGCCTACAGTGACGTATGGTAGTAAAGTATGGTCACTGATAAATGCAAATACGGAGACATTGGAATGATGGGAAAGCAAAAGGCTCAGAGTTATTTATAGAAAAAAAAATACGGTGGAAGGTTATGTGCAACGAACAAATAATGAGTTGGAGAAACTGTATAACGAAGAAAGCATCGGTCGCTTCATAAAGGCACAGAAAAGAAAAGAAAAGAAGGAAAGGACGACCCAGACAAAGAACGTATAGAACGTAAGAACGGATAGCGTATAGAAAGAAATCAGAAAAGAGGGAATTGATTGTTGGGAAGAAAGGGAAATAAAGAGGGATGAATGGAGGAGAATATTAAGTCAATTTAGTACACACAATCCATAATTTTTACAAGAAGCTACCCCATTAGATTTAAGTTTTATAATATCTTACTAAGTATTATATTAATTATATTTTAGCCCTTGGTCTTCAAGCTCTGTTGAGTTTTGTGAATAATTATTCACAATTCATATTACTTACTTACTTACTCCGTTCATATTAGATCATAACAAATCTGTTACCATTCATATTACTTCTTTGTCTTATATGATAATTATATGATAATGGTCTGTTATGGATATCAGATTCAACTAAACTATAAAGTTCGTTTATGTTGTTTACATTAATTATTACTACAAGTATTGAACATATTTGCTTTGTAGTGTCTCTTATGTTCGATGGCTTTATAGAGCTATGACTAAATATCTAATTATACATCAGACCCATACAGCAATCATATAAATAATAGCAGTCAATATGTCATAAAATAATAGAAAAATAATGTTTAATATAAATATTGTAATAATAAAAGCACAGAATAATAAACAATCAGAATGCCCACTCTCAGATGGCGCCTTTGAAGTTTTTTAGCACGCGCGCCATGTTTTAAAAGGAAACACAGAACACAGACTCGGATTGAGAATGACATTTGGTGTAATGGGTCTTTATCGACATATGATTTGTGAGGTTATGTAATTGTTTATATTTATGTTTAATAATATTATATTTAATTATACATATTATATATTTATATTTAACAATGTTAAAATAATTGTATAATATGTCTATGATTGCCGTAAGTCAATTAAACCGGGTTAATTTTTCTATGCACACCACATAAATTTTCATTAAACAACACTGGTTCCCTTTAAAACATGGCGGAACGTCTGCGCGAACGAGATGCGCGTACTTAATTTTCCATGGAGAGTGGGCATTCTGATTGTTTATTATGCTGTGATAAAATGTGATAATAGTAACCTTTGCAAATATGATAAGATATAAAATCAAAATTATGCTGTCATAATTAGTTTACGAATAACTGTATTTCTACTTGTTTTTTCAGAACTATATTACAATCACAATCAAGATGCCCCAGAAATCAACAAACCAAGACCATCGTGGATCTTATTGGTTATTCTGTATACTACCTCTATGGTAACCTGTTTGCTAAAAATCCAAACTTGTATTTGTATTTATGTTGTTCTGCGAGTATGCAAGGTTCCTATTTTTTTGGTAGTTTTCTATTTTTTCGCTGGTGGCAATTAGGGTAGGAATATGGGTGTATACGTCGTTTATTTGAATTATTATTTGGATTATTTTGGTTGGTATTTTGAAAGTTGGTCACTGCTTATATCATCCTCGGACTGACTTCTATTTGTAGTTTTAAGCTTTTTTGTCCAATTTGTTCTTGCAATTATTTATACATTTCTCATCCTCCCTCTGTGGTTTTCTAGATGGTTTCCTTTGCAATTTATGCAGTTTACGTTTTCGTCAATAGTTTTCTTGTACAGTATATTAGCCATGGTGCATTACATTCAAAGCAATATTCAGTATTCGGTGTAACTTTCTTATTTATTTTGGGATCGACTTCCACTTAGAAGACATAAAAATCAACATATTTGTAATTAAAATTATAGTTAACTCGCAGTAAATAATTTAAAGGCAGCATCTTTTCACTATGATTTTTTGATATTACCGTATTTTTAACTCTATAGTTATCCGCTATAACTATAGAGTTGGGTAGAGATAGAAAACTATAACTTAGAGATAGAAAACGTAACCAGTGGATCAGAACCAGAACAAAGACAGTAGACGCGATAGAACAAGCAGCAAAACTGAAATGGAAATGGGCTGGACACAATGAACGTCTCCAAGACGGACGATGGAACAATGCCATCGAAAGTGGCGTCCATACAATGCAAAGAGATCAAGAGGTAGACCACAGATGAGGTGGAAAGATGACATCAGGAAACAAGGAGGTCCCACATGGCAGAGAACAGCTCAAGATAGGGAAAGATTGAGAGAACTGGGGGAGACCTATATCCAACAATGGAAGGATAGAGAATAGGTTCAAACAAAATAGTTATCCGCTGTCAGGATAATAGTCAAATGAATACTGAGACTTACAATTAAATAATTTATCTGATATTCTGTTTGGATTTGAAGCCGTATCACTATATTACTTTATCACTTCGTATATTATATAAATTTAAATTTCAATTCAATAAAAACGCTAAGTAAAACGAACTTAGTAACTTAATTGGCTTTATTTTTTATGCTTACCTATATCGGTACTGTTATCTGCTAACCATGATAGCTCATATAGATACACAGGTACATATTGGGAGGCAGTTTCAGCTTGGCGTATTATTGATCTTGAAAAAACTTCATCACTAGTGAACTGAAAATACATAAATCAGATATATCAGATCAAGATAACTCATTTTGTATTTATCCATTTGTATTTTTTATTTATTAATTTGACGCAAAGTACGGATAGGAATTTTTACACCCAGTCTAATCACCACGGTCTAATACATATTTTGACTTTTTTTAAAATATCTGCACTTGTCTATCAATGGTTAAACTACTATTTTCCTGTCGGTATGCGACTAGCGCTTGCTAAATAACGAATGCTTGAAATCTAATATAACATTTACTATATTTCTTCGAACAACATTAGATGACTCTTCGTATTTTAACTTGAATATATGTAAAAGTGGTCGTCGTTTAAAAATTATTTTCAACTAAACTAAGGAGACAATCAAAGTAAAGAAACATGTCCGGATACAACAAAAGCGAAAAGTTAAGATATTTTAGTAACATGTAAAATGGTATATTGTTTTGACCTATTAATCTTCTAATACACGCAAGAGACACATGGACTACAAAGATTTATTCAACAATATTTTTAGAACAGGATAGGACAATTTAGCATTTTAGTTAATAAAACCATGACTCTAATCATCACTTGTTTACGATACATGAGGGCAACTAGTTTTAATAATTAAATTCTAAGGAGGAAATGTATGTGATTGATTTAGCCATAAATTGAAATATCCAAAGAAGCTTTCTAGTACGATCCGGTGTACAATATCTACGAATATGGAAGAAGTGGGTCTCTAATACTAATAAACCAATAACTATTACTGAAAGTCTTTTCATACTGCAAATTTCTGTCGAAAATCCATGCCCAATTCCTGGAAAATATCACATAGTTCTGAATCAACGGATTCGTCAATATTTTTAGAACCTTATTTTTTGCCATAACTCACATAAAAAATTTTTAGAAGCTCACGTTTAAATTTCTTACCTTGTATAAACCATTTATATCTTCTGTAAAAGAAGAGGAAGTGTAAAATTTTTTTAAAACGCCTTCCAACATGCTCTTTTTCTTCTTCGTCTACATTAAGAGAGAGAGATACAAGATTTTTGGGACTTTGATCAAGAAGCCTGCCTCTTTTTTTAATAGTTTCTGAGTCAATTTCTGCAAAATAAATAATAGTTTTAAATAAAATGTTAGTGATAGAAGGGATTAAATGGCATTTCCTAATTTTAGACATCTACATAAAACTACATCTATAACTTCGAAATTTTTTTTGATAAAGGATGATAGCCTAATTGGAACCTAATGATGGATGGTAACCTAATTGAAAGTACTTCAGTACACTCACACAGTCCTTGTTTCGAGTAAGGATCAGTATGTTCCCTTAAGGAAAATTCTTTTAAGCTCGATCTCGTGTCGTCGCATCAATTTGAACATTTAATAAATTTAATATATAAGAGCGAAAACGTTATGAAATTTTTAATCCGTTTGGATAATTTCAATTTTATAAAAAAAGTAATACTTTAGGCGGTACTGTAGACTATTACAAAGCTTTATCCTATGTTTTTTGTATTTTTAAATTTAAAATATTATTTTTGAAATTGGATCAAGTCATTTTATTATTGATTTATTATTTTAACTACATGCCAAATTTAAATAAACAAAAACACTTATGTTTAATAATTACATAAAACCGCTTTCAGTTAATATCATTACTATAGATTTTAATAAAATTGACAAAGTATTCTATAACATAAGGTCAACTCTACGTCAACTAATCCCCTGTAGAAAGAGTGACGCACTACAACTACCTCGGCACCATAATAAATTAAGAATGGACCAACAACCAGGAGATTAGAGCAAGAGCAAGTTGTGACCTTCTTCAAGAGTCACAACCTCTCATGATACAAAAGTAAGAATGCTGCGATGCTACGTCTTCTCTGTCCTTTTTTATGGCCTTGAATTGTGTACCTTTAACGAAGATATGTGCAGAAAACTAGAAGCATTTGAGATGTGGCTCTATCGGAGAATACTTAAGATCCCGTGGACTAATTGAGTCGCAATAAGAAGGTCTTCAGAAGAATGAATAAGAACCGAGAGGTACTGACCACCATTAAATCATATTATGCGAAATGAATCCAGTTACGCTCTCTTTCAAGCCACCCTGCAAGGAAAACTATTTGAAAAACGAGGTCCAGGAAGAAGAAGAACATCCTCGTTAAAGAATATCAGAATCTGGTTCAATACATCACTGCAGCTTTTTGCGCTGCTGCATATAAGATAAAGATTACCATGACGATCGCCAACATTCGTAACGGATAGGCACATCCAGAAGAAGAATTGTATAACGAACTTGCCTCGTCGTGTAAATGGACTTCTCCAACTGTTTATATCACCTTACCAAGGTGCTTCTGTAGTAGAAGTAAAGCCACGAAATTTGCTTTTTCGCGGCACTACGTCTGTGATGCCGTGTCGTGGCGCTATTTCCGTTATGCTCACCTCAATATTTTTGTATAAAGAAAAAGTAATACAACGCCAGTATACACTTCAAAAATTTTAAATATATACTATTATACATTAGAAGTTGTTTATATCATTTTAGGTATATTGCCAGGTAATATACTTTTTCGTGGACTACTTCCATGTCGTGGCGTTACTTCTGTGACGCTCGCCTCAACATTTTCTATAGAGAAAATGTAATTCATCGCCAGTATAAAAGCTACACTTCAAAACTTCTAAATATATACCAGTATACATTAGAAGTTGTTTACATAATTTTAAGTTTAATTGTTATACTATCTTAGATTATAGTTATATAACTATTTTACCTACAGTCAGTTCCAGTTTAAAGCAAATATGTTTGATTGAAATTTACAAAATTAATTGTAAATAAAAAAACAATTCAAAGAAGTGTACTACCAAAATGAATTTAAAATTTAATTCTTTTTTTTTCTAATTCTAATTTTTTCTAAATTAATAACCGTTTATTATACATTTTTGATTTAGATGCTTGACAAATTAGAGCCAACTTAATATTGGTAGTAACTATGGAATAAATAACAAATTTTGCAGTGGTCCATATACCATTCAGAATTCACAGATTATAATATCCAATCCAATTTTTATAATTTTTTTACCTAACTATAATATATACGATATATTGAAAAATATAAATAAGTTATATCTTTTGATCAGAACTTTGAATCATAAACTTCAAATATCTAGAAAATATCGTGATTGTAAATCGCTATGATGAACAAGTGAATTAATACTTATTTTATAAAATAATACACACATACCTAGTAAAAACATCAAAGATTCTTCAGAATTTAGTCCGATAAGAATAGGAACTAAATTAAAATCACCGTTCAATACAGCCTCATGCATGGGTCCAGTAATAAATGCATCCTCGTTTAATTCATTCTCAAGAACTGGCTTAAAGGTCAAGGCATCCATAAATCCCGATGTTCTACCAGACGTAAACTGTTAAGAAATAAATTATTTGTATTAGAAATGTATAAATTCGTTATAAGTGTCTTAATACATGTATTACTGTACATCCAGGTTGTTTGCTGGATTAGAGCGTCTTCTTTATTGCTAAAAATTCTTGGTTTCTATCTCTATGACTTCACCGTTCACTACTACATAACTGTTTACGGAAGCTATTGTAAATCTTTTTTGTGTCCTTTATTGGCAAACCTGGAGAATGGTATTATTCGGTCAGGGCCGTAAAATTATAGTTATTTTAAAAATTTTATAGTGGATGAGAAAAAATAATAGTATTATCGTTATTAGTTAATAGTTATTAACAATTGTTGTTATTAAACTGTCGAATTGAAAGTTCAAGTTAAAATTAATAGATTATCGAAAACACGATTACTGACTATTTAGTGATTGATTTAGATAAAGGCGCGTATAAAATTCTTAAATGTATATGGTATAAACGCTTAAGTATTACAGGTTATGCTGATGTTCCTTTTATTTCAAACTTTATTGTTGATGTTATAGCTGGCTCACTGCAAAGGACCGCTTATTACCTTAAATTAAAATATACAGACAGCTATTAAAATGTTGTGAGCCGATATTATTTTGATTTTCTTGTTAGTTAACGATGTATTTCATTTGTACCTCGCACAATAAAATTAGTAAATGAATTAAGGATTTGTATAGGCATGATAGTCCAAAGTAAAAATGAGTGTAATTATAATTTATCCACTATAATGATTATAGTATGGTTGCTAACCTTGGTCCTATGGTGTTTGAATAATTTATAAGTTTTTCAGTCTTTGCCGTTAAATCCAAGCATAAGAAATTTGAGAAGACGCGATGTATTTTGCTATAAAGTACAGGGCATATCAAGGGCGTTGACGAATATCCGTTGACGTATTATGCGAATGAGGCATATCTTTCGAATGTGTTGGTGTAAATGGAAATAGGTGAGTTGCAAAAATTTCGCTGTCTTGTCTCTTGACGTATGAGATGTTACATAAAATATTACATTAAAAAAAGCACGTAAAGAGTTAAAAATTAGAGGTTAAACTACGTTGACCTAACTTTGGAGCATAAGCTCCTTTTTTTTACATTAACAGCTGCTCGTTATTATCGTCTAGCCCTATCGTGTAACGTGCAAAAATTCAGTTGATGTAGCCTATGGTCTGACCAACTTTCATTATTTTATTATAAAATAACGAAATTTTATTTCACCTTGGACATAAATTTTTATGCACATAAATAACTTAAATATATTTAAGGCCGTGCCTATAAAATAATGTAATAATACTTCCACAGTAATTCGTACTCAATATTGGGCGTTTCTTCCATTATATACAATAACCGTAAGGCCGTAAGGTACCCTTTGGAAAAGTTATACCTGTAATACTCCAAGTACCAAACGACACGATTAACACTTTATTGCTCTTTTTACGTGTTTTTCTAGATTAACAAACTTTGTTAATCCAGTCTGGACACTTTTGTTTGCATATATAGTAAGTATTATTTAGAAGTCTGACCATAAGATCTAAGTTTCCGTTAGATGTAGTTCATTTCCGAAAGCCCTAATAGTTCCGTCAAAATTTAGACCACCCACCTACCAAACGGTATTTTGTTATTCGAATATCTTCCTATAGATAGGCCAACTCAAAGTTGGCCTCACGGTTAAGTTACCCAATTTAATTTTGTATCTCAGTTGAAATGTATTTAATTTTTAATATGTCCTCTTTATTTTAATTACTTTCACTTTTTACAGTTTTAATTTGTGAACAGTACTTCTTGATAATTAGGTCTTCTTCTTTTTCTTTGTGTGCCTCTTCTTTTATGGACATTGGCGATATTCACGGACCATTTTACTTTTTCAGCAGCAGTTCTGAAGAGTTCTGTTGTTAGTTTTCCACTCCACTGCTTTAAATTTTTTAACCAGGATGTACGTCATCCCCCCAGTTTTCTTTTTGCTTCCACTTTCCCTTGTATAACCAACTGCATCAACTCATATTTTTCATTTCTTAATATAAGACCAAAGTAGCTCATTTTTCTTTCCTTTATAGTATTGAGACTTTCTTTTTCTTTTTTATCTTTCTTAGCGTTTTCGTGTTTCGAAAACATCACTTCTCAAAGCTGGCTTGTTTTTTTTTTACTTGCGACCGTAATTTTTACGGCTTTAACTTCATATAAAAATGCGGAGAATAATCTCAACACTCTAGTTCTAATTTGTATTCCCACTTTTCCATTGCATAATACTGCTTTCATCTTATTAAAACTGCGTCCAGCATTCATCATAAGAACTTTGACTATAGAGTGAATTTTATCTTTTTTACTTTTTTATTTTAATATTTGCATTTTTTCTCTTTGATTTGTGTATATCCTCTTTTTGTCTTTTTTGGGATTGAAATATTTATAAACAGTGGCGCAATTTCTTTTTGAAGAGTTGTTCCCTTCCTAAATTTCATTTCATTGTTGTTTAGTATCTTTTCTTCCTTATGTTTTTCACCTTTAAGGACGACTTCGCCCATAATCTTGCTGGACTGAGAAACGGTGTCTTCAAGCCTATTGTGTACCAATGTTCCAAGATTAATTCTTCACGATTTAGATCACTAGGTATGGTACAATCGTCATTAAGTGATACTGATAGCAATATTAAATCAGAATGAATATGTACTTACTCTATTATGAAGCTCTACTAAATCTGAATAATTTGCCTGCTGCAACAATTCTAATAAATCACTTGATTTTATTGATTTAAAAGAAGGATCTAGTGCTTTGCCAAATTCGAATGCTAGTTCTCTGTCATTTGTTGGATAAAAGACACCCGATATTGATGATCCACTTTGTTGAATAACACTTCTAAATAGACCTGAAATTAAAAAAAAAGCAAAATAATTATCATCTAGTTCTAATAACAAAGATATCAATATTAAAAAGTAAGAAAATAAAAATAAAAAGTAAGCAAACAAACTATTGGAACGATCGGTTAATAATCAGATAATGCTATTTGGTAACATCTGGCCTCTTGGCATCCTCTTCTTCTTCATTATTTTGGTATGAGTTTTTTTTCTATCGAAGAAAAGAAAAAGCCCTTTTTGACAAATTAATTATGATTGTTCTTAGTTTCTTAGTATTATTTATCCCATATTTCTGGATTAGCTCTAGTAGCTAGTATCTCCTAATTTTTCTTCTTTTCGATCTTTCTGTTGTTTATTTGCTACTAAGAATGGTCCAAACAACCACGCCCACATTTCCTCCGACTCTGAGCAACGCGGCCTTGTTTGGTTTGCTACCGCAAACACTGTCCATCATTTGATGTGCTTCACATCAGATGTGATGATATAAGATATACACAGTAAATTCAAAACAATAATCTCAAATCTATACGGAAATTACACAGCAAGAGTTAAGATCGAAACTAGACTGACTGAAACTCATCAGGGCGTATTATCTCTCCTTCTATTCAAACAAATAAAAAGTATTCAGGAATTGCACATAATAAGAAACAGTTTTTTGCAACTGCAATTTACTTTTTAGTCTGCAGATCCCCACGCTACGCTGCTATGTGTTTTTCACATTTTGCGTGGTGCTGAGATATAAACCTTACGATAAATTACTTAACAAATACTTTAAAAATGTGGTAATAGAATTGAATTTTTAAAATATGCGTAAGATATTGACAAAAATAAAAAGAAGTACTTCAGTATTTGGTATATATTATACTTCTGAGAATTATCTGAGAAAATATCATTATTCACAAAGTAACTGCAGCTGGACTTTAACTTAACTTCTTAGAAGAACAATTACTAAAGATATGCGATCTATAATGATATCGAATCTTCGAAAAAAAAAATAACGGAAGAAGAAAAACACATCTTCTGTAAGAAAGGTCTGCCCTAATAAGTAAATATATATATATATATATATATATATACGAATTATCTTAAGGCCAGACGTCTGTCTTTTGCACACTAGAATAACTATTTAAGGGATTTATTCAATAACTGGATTACATACCTTTGCTTAATCTACTAAGCAAATGGAACCCAACGGACATACTTCCAGCACTTTCTCCAGAAACTGTTATTTTTTTGGGATCACCTCCAAATTTATGGATATTGTCGTGTGTCCATTGAAGAGCTAGATGTTGGTCCTTAAGTCCTAAGTTTCCAGGTATATTTTCATCAAGTGTTGTTAAAAATCCTGAAAAATAAGTGTAAATATATTTCTATACTACAGAAACATCGATAAGTTAAGCAATATTAAATAATTTTTTGAGTGGATTGCCAACAGATAGTCAACGTAATTTAAAAATCAAGTCTTACTATTTAATTAATAAAAATTTATATAGTCTTAGTATTATATTATTTACATACTCCAGTAAAAATAACAAATAATTTAATAAATGTAGTCCATAAACAAATGTTATGAACATGAAACATCGGACCACTGCGCGGTCCGATCTAAAAAGAGTAAGTTTAGTCTAAATGATACAAAATAAAGAATAAACATAAAAGTACCTAAAAATAAAATGTTATTAAAGAAATTAGAAGAACAGTAGTTAATTTGATTTAGAAATATTAGAAAACCAAAACGTAAATGGATTAAGATAACAATTATTACAGAAAATTAGCCCAATGGACAGGAAAAGAGAAAAAAAAATGGATGAAATAAATATGATAATTTATACGAAAGCATAAGTAGATAATAAAAGAGATTTGAGACGTTATACTTAAAAAGCATAACAGATTAATGAACAACTAGACAATTCTATACAATAAAACCTTATTACAAATATATCTATCCTATATTTTTTATTTGTGCAATATTTGGAAAGTCTTTTTTGAACTATAATATATTTAGCTTTTAATAACTACGTGGAATTAAAAAATATTAATGCTTACCAAAAGCTCCTAATCGATAATTTATTGTTACTACGATTATATCATAATCAATTAAGAATTTTGGGTTGTATTGAACTATTGAACCACTACCAGTAACGAATGCCCCACCAGGAATCCAAAAGAATACTGGTAATGAATTATTCGAACTGGGTTTCTAAAAAAAAAAATTAAATTTTATCTATTAATAAAAATATTTTTTTAAACAAAATGAAAATTATACATCATGCATCAAGACGTAAAATCTGATTAGATGGATTCCAAAATTTTAGTTAAAAATTTGCGCCTTTTACGCTCCTCCTATGTGTTTTGCTGAGATTAGATACATTTTATCATATAGGTATACGTATATATATATATATATATATATATATATATATATATATATGCTAAGACTGTAAGGAACTTGTTTTCTAAAACTAAAACACCTCTTTCCGTTTTGGAACAAGTGAATGTAGTCTATCACATACCCTGTTCTGAATGTGATTTATATTATATTGGTCAGACGGGCCGTTCCCTTAAAGGACGCCTTACTTTACTGACAATAAACTGTCTAAACATACCTGTGCATAAACATACACAACATTCAATCAACACCAAACATGCTGTGAATTTTGATAATGTTAGAATTCTCTGTAGAGAACGTAACCTTAATAAGAGACAGTTTATGGAGATTGTGTCATATTTTGAAACAACCTAATGCATTTAATCAGCAACTTAAGCCAAATTTACCATGCACTAATACTGCAAAATTGATTTTTTCCGTATTCTACTTTTAATGATTGGTTTTTTCTTCAGTTTCTTTTATTATATTGTAATTTTACCATTATTTTGTAAATTGTTTACCTTAATCGTATAGCAGTATATGATTTTATTATACAATTTTTGGACAAATTTGAAAAACTTAAATTTTTGTGACTGATCATAATAATTTGATCTCCCACTGTATATATATATATATATATATATATATATATATATAAATATATATATATATATATATATATATATATATATATATATATATATATATATGTGCGAAGATGGTTGCGTTTTGATTTAGTTTGAGTCCTTTTAAACATTCTCTCTAATGACGGGTAGACCTAGAAACACGTGTCAGGGAGTGGTAAATCAGGGTAAAGTTGTATTTTAAAATTAAATATTTATCGTCCTTACTCGATGCAATTAGTACAAGAATGATGGTAATTTATATGGGTAAATTGTTGATTTTGGTGCTGTCAAGAATCAAAATATGGTCTTATCTTATCCAGTGATATGAAAAATGGAAACGCTTTAATGAATAATGTAATATAAATAAACTTACTACTGGTGTGTATACGTTTAAAACCAAACAGTCTTCAGTTGAATTTGGGTCGGGTTTTTGTGTACAGATTTTTTTATTTTCTGTCGCATTTATTACTCCTTCCCATGGACGATGAGGTTGGGGGGGCTAAAAAATCAATAAACCATAAATAATACCTCACAAATCCTAATATTCTCTATCATAATAAATTGCCAAGAAATTTACACAAGCAATAATATTTTATAGCGCATGCTCCTGTATTTTAAAATTGCATATAAATAACTGGTCAAAGTTAACAACAACTAACAAAATCGATTCAAGAACTGCTGATGACACAAATATTTATGTCAATTTTTATGGCCAGTTGCCTGACATACATGTTTTAGAATTTACTTACAAGAGTTTGAAGGGATATGAATAATGTAATAAGAATTAGAGGAGAATACGATACTGTTATATCACAATGAATCCAATAATTGCTTCCAGATTTTTAAACGCTTTCTGTATTAAATATTTTCATTAATTATTCCTTCTTATCAAAAGTACATTAATAATTTAAAATATAGCTGCATTTCAATAAAATAATTTTTACAAAATTTATCCTGGAATTTACGAATGAAATTATGTATTGATAATGAGGACATACTTATTTCACACAATAACTATATAATTTTAAAATTAAGGTTATCAAAGGAGTGCCACAAAACACACTGTCATTTTTTTACTGGTCGCGGTGTATCCATGAAATCACTTGTAATAGTGCGATTAGTTTATATTAGTATTGTTTGGTTTACTTTTAAGATACTTCGAAAAAAAAGTAAAAAAGTTTCAAATATGAAGTGTGAAAACACGAAAGAAAAACTAATAAATAAATCAAGTCAATTCTGCATTATAGTATTTATCAATTATAAATGAAAAACTCTATACCTCGTTTAGGTACAGAATATTGCTAAATAATTCTTTAGTAATATACTGTGGTTTAAGCATTCAATACACAAAATAGGAGAATGCTATAAACACAAATATGATTTATACTTTACACAAGACTATCTCTAGGTCTTCGTCTTTGATGATTTTCTTCACAACTCTTCTTAATTCTTTTTCGGTTTTTGCTAGGATAGTTAGATTGTTAGCAAATGCCAAGCACTGGTGCTCATTTTCCATGATCGTTTCTTCCACCTTCATACTGCATTTTCTGATTACAGTTTCTAACACTAAGTTGAATAATGTAGTTGATAAAGGATCTCCCTGCCTCAAGCCTTTTTCAACCAAGCTATATATCCGAATACTTTTAAAATATGATAAAAGCAATCTTGATGGAACATTATTTGTTTACAATATTGACTACACCGTTCGTACTATTATAAAATATTACAATATCTGTCTTATTTGGTCCATCAGAAGAGTGAACTACATTTTCATACAGAGCAGAAACTAAAATATTTCAAAAGTCACTTGTACAATATTTGAAGAAAGGGTTTAACAAGCCGTACTTTCTCGATAATAACCTAGGAATACATTTAGTCCAAATAAATCAAATACATTATGGTGAAAAGCCAAAAAGTTCATTTTATGTAATCAGATTAATTATCCTATTACAACATACCTAGTACTACCGGTTAAAGAAATTAACAAGATATTTTACATCAAGCATGGTGCAGGAATTCATAATTTAGGATAATGTTGGAGAAAGACGTAATGTTTCCTAAATTTAATTCTTATTCCATTTAATTATGGTTTTCGTTTAAAAAATTCCTTTCTTCTTGTTTATTTACTCACTGCACTAATCACTATTAAGTAAAAATAAATATTTACCCTAAATCTGAGTTTTCCTACAGGAGGTTCTGCATAGGGAATTTCTTGAAAAGCGTAGAAATCGTTTCCTTCGGCACTTTGAAGAATATGTCCACGAATTTTGCCCAAATTGTCCAACTCAACTAATAAGTCATCTTCCTCATATTGCGTTTGAATCAGAGGTGTTGAAAGTACCTAGAATAAAAAGTAATATGATTAAAAGTAAGAATATGATATTAAGAGTAGCTAATGATGTATACAGTGCTATTTTCAATTAGTGCTAAAATTTCAGAAAATTAATGTTGCGTTTTGACAATGAATATTAATTTCGAATTTGAAACCTTATAAGTCGAATGACTTGAGTTCGTTCGAAAAAATATTGAATATAAATAAAAATATGAAATAATTTTGCATAATCTCATTTGTGAGATACCCTAGTATAAAGTTTAAGAACCTAGGTCCTAGGTTTATTTATTAATCTATATAAATAATACGTTTGGAATAAAATGTAGTAAATGTATGTTTGGAATTATATGCATTAGGTGGATATGTTTTTTTTTATTTTTGGAAATTGATATTGTCAAAAAATGTTTGATTGTTTAACTTTTTTAATACTAAAATAAAACAAAACTTACCCCTTTAGTTGCAATATAGAGCAAAGAGCAAAAAATGACCAATCTTAAATGCATGGTTCTTCAATTTGACAAATTCGTCTTGTGCGAGTTTATTTTATATACAATTTCGATTGCTACGTCATATCTTTGATTAACACTCTTTAATGAAATAATTAATAAAACACTTTTTTATCAAATTTTATCAATACATATGTACTTAAAATAATTTTTGAAAAGTGGACGGAAATTGTGAATTTTTCTTTTAATTTCCAACAGTATTAATTTAATGCATTATATTTTATCTTTTACTTGATCTAGGTATTTGTATTATATTTAAATAAGTAGATAATATTCTTATGCTTGTTAGATTGGAGATTCTCCCAAAATTTGGTAAAACCAAAATTAACAAGGTGAATTCGATATTGAAAATTGTTGTAAAGAATTGAAATTATAGGTAGTCTGAATATATTTGCTTCAATAATCAGCTCTTTGTTACACGATGATTATTATTTTTTTTTTAGGATAATAGTTAGGCAATTAAGTGATGTGACATGTGTTACATATTGTGTTACGAGTAATTCCCGAAATTGGATAAAACTAATTGGCTGGACAAGATTTCTGGATAAAAGCTAAAGGAAATTGATAACTTCTTGATTTATCCGGGTCACTCTAGGTATATCCAATGTGAAATGGATTAAGCAGTATATTTTAAACTTGGGTATAAATAACACTTCTTACGTTTACATTTTATTTGTTTTCTTTTCTTTATTAAGAATTTATTACAGAATTATTGTACAAAAAATATAACTAAGCATTAAGAACTTCATAAAATTAGAATTATTCTAAAGATTGTACTTTACCCGTAAACGAATGATGTCCAAAAAACTGTAGTGGTCTAAACCGGTCGTCATTAAATAAAAAAATAAAGTTTTAGTTGGTCTCTTATTTATTTCTATTACTCAGTTTAAAAAGGACTTACTCGAGCAATCAATTCATTATTTGCATAGTTATTAATTTGAATTCTCTGTTGAATAGTTTGAGGGTACAAATCCTTAATACTTCCAGTCCTAACATATGGTTCAAAGAACCTGTAGCATTTTCGTTTTACCCCGTATATATTAAAATACCGAAAATAATTCTTAATCTTTATGCGCCGCTATTAAGATTGATAATGTAAACATGATCGAGTCTGTACAATACATGGCCGCCAAAGCAAGTGGCGCCTCTGAACGTTAACCATTGCAGTGGTGAAGTTTTAGGAGACATTCATTGGACTTTCCAAGTTTGAATTTGTATTAGCCCAAGTGTCTGATGGGGCTGGGATTGGTTGAAATGATTCATAACACGTTATTGATACCGATTCGAGCACTGGAAGTTTAACTATTTTGCCTTTTAATTTAACAAAGCGATAGCAGTTTTTGCTAGACGATTTAATCTTTTGTAACAATAAAACACTGAAAACTTTGTTTTGAAACTTAAACAAAATTTATTTTAAATTCTTATCACTACAGCTGTTTAGGCTGATTGCCTTTCTCAAGTGATATATTTTTGGTATGCGTTTACACTTTATAGTCTTTAATGAAATAGGTTGAAGAGAGGAGAACTGTTTGTCTCAAGTTGGTCATTCAGAATTATATCTGTGTTTTTTAATTTATTGATTTCCATAAATTCTAAGAAAGATAGTTGACGCCTTTATCTTGAATGTGAAGAATTTTAAATTCGTCATTAAAAGAATGATTATGATCTAGAAGGTAAAGTGCGTATGTAGAATCTGTTTTTTTTATTATTGAAAGCCCTTTTATGTTCTGCTATTCGTTTATTAAAATTTCTACCCGTTTGACCGATTTAAGTTTTTGGACAATCGCCACATTTAAGTTTGTACACACCACTGTGTAAGTGTGTTTTATTTTGGTTCTTGTTGTTTTTAATATATTTGCTTAAGTTGTTATTTGTTCTGAAAGCTGGTGTTATTCCTTTCTATTTTATGTATTTGGCTATTTTTGTTGATATTTTGCCTGTATATGTAATCGAGCAAAAGGTACCGGGTTTTTTCTCTGGTAGTGGAAAAACTAATTTCAGGGCTTTTTTGTATAGTTTGTGATTTAACATTTTATTAATTGTTTGTTCGTTGTATCCATTGTTTACTGCTAATTGCTTAATGATATTTAATTCTGTCTCAAAGTTGTATTTTGACATCGGAATTTCTGTTAATGTATGTAACATACTATGATAGGCTGCCAGTTTGTAATGTGTGTGATGGGATGATGAATTGTGTATATTCGTGTCAGTATGGGTAGGTTTAGGAAATATGGAGAAGTCATGTTTATTTTTAAGTCGGATAAAAAAGATTTTTTAAGTCAAATGAAATTAATCTGGAGTTGTTAGGTAATTGAAAATGTTGTATTTTATTAACTAGTTCTTAATTTACTGTTTGTTTTAATGTTGTATTTTATTATTAATTTACTGTTTGTATTTTGAGAACGATTGCCGAATTGGAAATTGAAACGTCAATGAACGTATTTTTATCTTTAATTGTGGCTTATTCCCAGTTATAAATAGTAATTAATTAACTAGTTCTATTGTATTTTTTATGGTGAATTTAGGTGAAAATTTGGTGTGTTCTGAAATAATTTCTAACAGTTTTTTTGAAAGTTTATATGATCGTTGATATTATATCTCGTATGTCGCTATACACTCATTAATATTGGAAATAATGTGTAGTGCCCTTTTGGTAGTCGTCTTGTTTGTTTTTTTTTACTTATTATATTCGTTACTTCCTCCCCTTTTGTTTGCTATGTCGCATGTTAGGATTAGTTCAGTTGTTTATTTTTTACTCAGCCAGGCGCCTTCTTTACGTCATTAAATTAAAGTGTTTCATTTAGTTAAACTATTTATATTTATAATGCCTTGTGACATCTTATATATAACTGTATAGTCACTATTAATGAAGATACTATGTAGCGCTGTTCTGGTAGTCGCCTTGTTTGTTTTTCTATCTTAATATATTCGTTATATCCTTTCTTTCATTTAACGCATCACACGGTTCAATCCAGTAATAAGGAGATATGATGTAATGCACTTTTAGCAATGAAGCAATATGTGTTTTCCCTGTTTCAACATATTCGCTACCCCTCATCTTTTCAATGATGTATCATACGTTTACGATTTGACGAACTCTTCTACCCCCACCACAAAACGCTCAAAAAATGAGCAGAATGAACCTTAACCCTTTTTTGCCCAAATTAAGATTTTTCAAAAAAAAACAATTTTTTTTTACATGTATCGATATAATAAGATAGCTTAAGCATAATTAAATTTTTTTTTTTATTTTTTTTGCCACAAAGACTTTTTTCAAAGAGATGGGACTTACAAGTCCCGTCAGGAATTAGGATAGGAGATTCTATCAGAAGACAACTATTAGCGATTTCTGTTGCTATAGAAAACAAATGCTAAAAATAAAAGCTTTTATTATTTTCTATAAATGATTACTATTAGACAGAACTTACAACGAAGTAGGAAGGCTGTACATCGCAAAACAGTTTTTATTTGAATTACAACACAAATAGGCACCACAAAATGAACACTTTGATTGAGGTCTAGACTCTAATCCAAGTGAGCTGCAATATTCACATCTTCCCCTATTGGTGGTAAAAACAGGCCAATGTTTCCCCAAATTTCCCAATCTGACGTCATCCAACACGCTGTATTTATACTTCCTCTTTTTGTTTGGTGTAGATGACTCAAAACTTCGGGAACCTCGCTTCTTTGCTTCAGTTGCGTATGTTATAAGTCCCATAGCAACCGATCTTCTTGCCTCCAGCTGGCTGGTTTTTTCGTATAATTCATTATATATAATATATGAATTCACAAAGGCAATGTCCAACATACCCCAGAATAGACGGTGCCACCATTTACGTGATTTTCTATCTACACAGTATGAACTACGTAGTTGATCGGCAAGGTCAACGCCGCCCATATTTTTATTGTAGTCTTCCACAACGCTAGGGTATGGTAAGTTTATACTCGAACCATCTCTTTGTTTTCTGGAAACATGTTTTACTTCTGATCCATGAAAGTTAGTTGCAATGTGAACTGCTCTGTTATCCATCCACACAAAATAACCGATGTTAGTATTACAATACATATAATCGAAATCTCCGCGCTGTAACTGCTTTTCTTTTACATTTCGAGGCAAGTCCTTCCTATTTTTACGAATTGTACCACATGCTAATGTGTTTTCTAGTTTTAATCTTTCTAGTAATTTTACGCTCGTAAAGAAATTATCAAAATAAAGAATTCTTCCTTCATTCCAGTACATCTTGGTTAATGATAGGACTACTCTTTCTCCTAAACCATAGTTCTCGAATTCGGTCTGAAATTTTTCGTTTTTGCCTTGATATAAGTCAAACTGTAAAATAAAACCATTTTGGTCTGCAATAGACCATAATTTGTAGCCCCTTTTGATAGGCTTTTTCGGATTATATTGTTTCAAGCTACTTCGCCCTTTAAAAACGATCATAGTTTCATCCACACTTAGTTTTCTTGTACCCTGATAACATTTAGTAAATTGTTTGTTTAGAGTATCTATCATTGGTCGAATTTTAAATGCCTTATCTTTATTTTCGTTGGAAATTTGATGGTTATCGTTTACATGTAGATTTGCTAATATCATCTCCAAACGATTCCTTGACATGGTTTTCGAAACAAGAGACACATTTAAGTCTTCTGAAGTATTCCAGTACATTTTCCACGAGGGCAGTTGATGGTACCCCATTAAAAAGTTCAGCCCTATAAAGGCCAGTAATTCACCCTCCTTCATATTCAGTATCTTGTTGTTCTGCACTGCATACAAATTACTTTGATAGGTAATCTTCTCCACAATATCTCCAAGTAGTCTAAGAAAAACATCTGTAGGCGTTGTGCAACCTGCGAACTCTGGACTCACTGCTCCTTCTTCTAAGTGGCAACTTTGAATAATTTCGATGACATCTTTCTTATGCCATTTCCGGTTAGCTTCAAGAAGTTCAACTGTTTCATTTAGTTCGTCCTCAACCATAGGTTCTCTTGTTCCTGATTCTTCAATCTCACCTACATAATTTTCAACTACTTCACTTTCTTCAGCTGCAGACGGACTAACATCTCTTATTTCATTATCGTCAAAATCGCTGTCTTCAAATTCAC